CTCCCTGCTCCCATCAGCCCTCCTACATGGAGGCATCAGAGCCGCTGAACTGGATTGGACAGAGCTGACATCACTGTGTTCGCCTCTTTTGCTGCGTTGTCCGGAAGTTGAAAGTCTGATGCAACTGGTGTTCGCTGTTAGAAATGCAGAACATCAGTTAAAACCAGCTTTTACTCTCGTGTTTCAGCAGTATTGCTGAAGAAAAAAACACGGAAGACTTGTTTAAATCAAATTTGACTGACATTACAACTTTTTTTCCCTCCCTTGTTAAAACACCCTAAAAATGAACACTGGGCTTTTTCAACACTAATGCAGGGTTTTTCCTGCATATAATTTTTTTTCCCACATTGACCAAAGAGATTTTGGCCAACCACCAAAGGGAAACCAACAGAACTGTGATTTTTAAACCAGTTGTTTTTAAATGGGGTTTAATTCACTTGAGCTTAAGATGCGTTTTAATTATCAAATGTCCAGAAAAAAATAAAAAGGCAGAAAATGTCTTAGATTTTTCTTGAGTAAGTGGCCACAGACTTTTACTCCTCACTATATCTGGACAAACGTAGTCACGGGGACATGTGTAGTCACCCTCTCAGAGGCTCATTTTGAGCGGGAAAATCCCTGTAATGCTGTAAGACACAATCGTATAAAGGGTCTTTCCTCTGCTAATCAGTGTTTTGTCCTGGTCTCTGTCTTGTCCATGCTTTTTTTTTTTTTTTGAGGTGAGCACTGACACCTGGTGGTTAAAGACTGTAACTCTTCTGTTCCTTCCAGGATGAACAGATTGAATTGAGTAAGCAGGAGCTGACAGTGGTGGACATTCAGCAGAAAGTGAAGGAGTACAATGCTCAGATCAACAGCAATCTGTTCATGAACATGGTGAGCAGTGATTCTTCACAACAAATCCCTGCTTTTCCCTCCAAAGCATTTTTATCTTTTAGTTTAATATTCGTTTTTTTCCCTTTAACAGAACAAGGATGGGTCCTACACCGGCTTCATAAAGGTGCAGTTTAAGCTGGCCCGACCCGTGTCTGTTCCCACCCCAAAGAAAGGAGGCAACGACACAGGCGGGAGGCGGGCCAGCGGAGTGAAGCGGCGCACCTCTTTCTACCTGCCGAAGGACGCGTCCAAGCATTTGCACATAAGTTCTCGAACTTCGGCTCGTGAGGTCATCGAGGCTTTGTTGAAGAAGTTTACCGTTGTGGATAATCCCGCCAAGTTTGCTCTATTTGAGCGCAGCGAGCGTCACGACCAAGGTATTCTGCTTTAACATTAAATCGTGATTTCTTTTGGTGATCGCTTAATGGTTTCTTTCTCCTCCAGTTTATATCCGTAAGCTGTCTGATACCGAGCGTCCCCTCCGTCTGCGTCTGTGCGCTGGACCGAATGAGAAAGTCCTCAGTTTTGTGCTGAAAGAGAACGAAACTGGCGAAGTCAATGTGAGTAAAACATGAACAGCTCTACATCCAACACGTATGGATTGTTCACCTTCAGATATACCAGTTTAACTTCTCTCTCGCTCTCGGTTGCAGTGGCATGCCTTCTCCATGCCTGAGTTAAAGAACTTCCTGCGGATTCTGCAGCGTGAAGAGGAGGAACATATCAAGCAGATCGTGCAGCGCTATGCTTTGGCTCGCACTAAAATGCAGGAGGCTCTGGCTGGCTCAACGCCCGGCTGAGATGCCTACGCTCAGAGGGGCTTTAGCGTGCACCTTTCGGCTGGACGATCACCAGAAGTTGACCGGCCATCGATGCATTCAAAGATCCCAGAGAATCCAACTCCAAACGCCTCTTGGTGAACGAGAGTGTGAGACAGGGCGCGAGACTATGAGAGCGAGAGAGAGAGAGCGCTAGCGCGAATGTGCATGTGAGATGATGCGAGAGATGAGACGTGCCTTACACCTGGAGAGTCTGATGTGCCTGAGAGAATGAGTTGAGAGAATTAATGACTGGCAGATGTGACAGTAATGTCTTTAGCTTTTGGTTACTGTAGGATTATCCTGCACCTCAGCTGTGTTATTTTTCCAGAAAACCAAAATTGGTAATATTTCAAATAATGCATTTAATCCCCTTTGCCTTCACTCAACAACCCACCATAATAATGATGCTTCTCACCCTCGGGTTAAACACATACTTGCTGTAAGGTATTTGGATTTTCACTTGACCTAAGCTCAGAGTCTGCCATGTCTTCTCTTACACCCCTGATTGGTGCAACTCTGAATTTCACTGACAATCTGTGAGTGTGACTGATGTATGGACATTTGTATGGAACTATGAATGTCTGCGAGAACAGAGCCCCAGTCACCCTGGTTGACTGGAACCTTGAATGAATATTGCTTTGCATGTGTTTAACTGGAAGTTTCCTGTCATTCCTTTATATCTTTGTTTTGTTCTGTCCTTTAAAACAAAATGTTTGTCTTCTGTCACTCTGTTCACTTTCACTGTATGGAACTCTATGCACAAATTTACTTGTTGTAGCAATCTTAAGAATGTCGTGACAAATGTGCACTGCGTTTAGTAAAGAATTACCAAAAACTCGATTACGTTTTTGTATTTTTTTATTTTATTTTTTTTTACAGGTGCAGTGCTGTGAAAAAGCATTTGCCCCCTCTCAAATTTTCATTATTATTATTTTTTTATTGCATATTTGTCACATTTAATGTTTTAGATCATAAGCTCATTTCAATATTAGACAAAGGCTTATCCAGGGCTGGGTTGTTGGGCCAGAAGCAAACAGAGAGCCAACTCACCCAGGAGCCATCCTAGGCAGATACCCAAACCACCTTAACACTTTTCAATACAAAATGCCCCCACCTTTTTTTTCTTTTCTTTTTTTTCTTTTTTTTAATGATGACTTTATTTATTAAGGCTAAAAACCAACAACAAAAACAGCTATCGAAACCAATCTGGTCCTATGTGGGAAAAAGTAATTGCTACCTAAGCTGGTCGTGTCACCCATGGCAGCAAAAACGGGAGTGAACTGTTTGCGATAAAAGGCATTGAGGAATTTGGCCCAATCTTTGCAGTATTGTTTTGGGACACATTGGAGTGTTTTCAAGCGTGAATGGTCTGTTTAAGGTCACACCAAAGCATCTCATCTGTCCTCTGAAAAGTCTTGGGGATCTATAGGATCTTTTTTGTTCTCTCGTGGCATAGATATGCTCTTGGGACTAATTTTGGTACACTGGCCACTCCTGGGAAGGTTAACCACTGTCCCAAAGCTTTAAAATGGCTTTATAACCCTTTCCTGACTGATAGATGTAAATGATTATTTTGTTGCTGTTCTGGACAGATCTTTAAAACTGCTTCCCTTTGTTAAACAAGTCTT